GTTTCTAATTATCAGGTTAAAATGGCCAACCCGCGTTAGGCAAGCGTGCCCATTAATGCTCAAAACCTTCTCCATGCGGGAAGAGGCCTTTGGTCAGCAGTGGCCACTTATAGGCTGTTGATGTCGTTATTATAGTAGAAGTAGCAGTTGCCATCCATCTTAGCATTAAATAGTTACAAATAAAGAAACTGAAGGTACTCGATCAAAGAGGGTTAGAATGATAACGTGGTAAAACGAACATTCACTATATATGAAAGAAACAGAAAGTATGAAAAGCGTACTAAATCATAATATCAAGCAACCAACTGATTTCAAACCTTCTTTTACAAAAGACGAGATTTCATCTAAAATTCTCTTCGCATCGTCCAAAGATCAACAACGCATGAAAGTGCCAACTCAGTGACTCGATGATGATGATGACGATGATGATAATGACACAGGATGACATTAGACGTGACATTTGTACTGTAATTACTTTCCACGACCAATGATCTTTGCTACGGCACTTTTTAGATAATATGTGACGAAAATTTCTCTAAAATAGGACAATTTTGAGTACACATCGATCACGACCAAAGATATAAACAAAGATATAGTACGAAAACTTTCTTGTTATGATGTTAATGAATCTTACAGTAATTTAAAACCAGCTTAAATAAAACACTAGCTGAACTCTGCTCTGTTACTGATAATATCAATAAATGTCTTTATTTATTCTGTCGAATACTGCTACTATTAATACAGTATATAGACAGAAAATTTTACCTGCGAATTTTAATAAAGTGGATATAATATTTAGTATATTATTCACTATTTCATCCGTAATAAGAGCTACTGGTGAACATAAAACTGGTTGGCACCTAGCAATAGGTGCGTGGGGCTGAAATAATGAATAATGATAAAGACTAATCTTTGAACTAGAACTATTAATAATCCTTCTTACTCAAAACAGCAGCCCAAAATATTTCCACATTAAGAAGAGAAGTCCACTCATCAATCAACAATGAGTACTAAACAAGAATCAGACAATCATGTCGAACCTAGCTTCCGCGTAATCATTGAGAATTTCCACCATCACATGATAGACGATAGTGGTAACATCGATCGTCCTCAATGACGATGGCATTGATTCGCGACACAGTTTACATGTGACAAGAAACAATAATGAGAAACTAATCGATGTGATGCCTTCTTATGAAGATGGTAGATATGTTAGTGGTACAGAGTTTGATGGATTGGATTGCGTTGATGGAGATCATGCGGATTTAAATGGGAAATGGAGTTATAGTGTGATTGGTCTTGGTGAGGTCAATGAATGTGATGAAGATGAAGAATGTGTTAATAAGTAGGATAGAAATTATTAGATGTCCTGTACATTTTTAGTCGACTTCAAAAAAAGAAGGAAGTTCGCAGTTTAACCTATATATATGTATGTATATTGCATGTTTGTGTGCGATTATCTCGCGACTGGCTGAACCAATTTTGATGTGGTTTTCAGAAAAGTGTTATCGGAGGGGATAGAAAGTTGTCACCGGTAACCATTTGAAGACTGATCAGTTAATTAACTGGCTTCAAATAAAGGGGGTGGGAGTCGGTTTTTTTAAACATACATAGTTTATAAAAAACTGTTAAAGTATAGGAGTTAGAAAAAAAAACGTACTACTTTTATATACGACGAGGTACACTGTTTAAATGATAATTAAGAGAATGTACTTGAAAGTAAGAAATATTAATCGCTGCGTACTACTACTAAACATGTAATTGTTTTAATTTATGCATAGCAAAACGTACTGCTTTAAGATTTTATGACAGAGAATAAAAAAATTATTAACCATATTCATAGCTGAACATGTATTATAAGTTGTTAAGAAAAAAAGTGTAATTAAAGCCATACTAAATGTGTGAAGAGAATATTCCAAGAATCGTGACTCCGATGTACCAGAAATATTTCAAACCAGTGTTCCTATCTATCGAGGAATTCTTGGTAGCGTTGGAAGCAGAATTTATTGACACAAGTGCATATTTGAAAGCAAGTTATTTATTTTTATCGAAGGCAATGAAGTGTTCAAGTAGTATTTTCATGTTTACTACACGTATTTCTTTTGTATGGATTGGTTTATGAACTATTCACAGATTTATTGTTGATTTTAAATTCGTAGTGGGAATTCTATTTACTTTCCTATATTTGTATTTGGTCTTTTATTTGTAAGAGAATATTCGATCATTAGTGTTATTGAAAAGAAATTCAAGCCTTCTTTTCAATGACCTACGATTACGAATTATGGTGTGATTATGAATTTTGGGAATGTTTAATTGCGAAAATTGTTCCTCCTTTTCTGTCAACTTTACGGGACCGCTAACTTGCCAACCACAAATAAGTACTAGGCTATAAGTGTAAGTAAGCGCCTGTGGCTACAATGAAGTATCATTTTCTATCCGTGTCACAAGGTCTCGGCCGCGGGATCTAAGTTCGTGTAATAGTCTGAGTATTGTTACTAACAATTGCAACAAATGTTTCTGGAGGCTTACATACATTGCCTCCGATTTGTGACAAAATATACCTAATTTAAAGCAACAATTAGGTTCAAAATCCAACAGATCATAATCAAGATGACACCAATGTAGTAAAATTTCTAATTGCTGAGAAAGATGTTTATATTATTAAAAATAAATAAAAGGTTCTAAAGACACAAAAGCAAACAGCATTAAGTATAATTAACGAAGATTTTCAAACTAAAGATAACGTTAACCACACACAAAGGGAATTGAAACTAGAGCGAGGGAATGTTTTTCGAAAACTATTCAAAAGAATTTATCAATAGAAGCTTAAACATGAAATTAAAATACTTTCTTCTGAACAGATGTTATCTTGAGCTCATGGAATAAACAGAACTTAGTACAGTTATGGGACGAGAGACGTTCTTGAAGTATTAGATATAATTTATAACATCTAGCACATAATAAATTAAGTATTGACTTATTGACATAGACTAAAATAGAGAATAATAGTTGTTAGACAGAGTAGTCTCAAATCGTTTAGAATTAAATTCAGCCAGTATGGTTAATTTAAGTTTGAAGTAAAAATGCATATTCTCTCAACGGAATTATTGTGACACTACACAATGAAAGGGCAACGTCGTAGAAAAGTATACTAAATGAATATAATAATATCACCTCATGCTTAATGCGAAAACTGCAAACAAATCTAGAACGATGCTTCAAAATAAGGCCCCAAAATTCTACCCCATTTTCCAAAACATGTAGGCCATAACACAAATACCATCTAACCAACTATTCTCTCAAGATCATACATCTTGTTGTTCTCACGACACTGAACGACAATGAGGTGGGAAAAGAAACGATTACTTATAATTAGCGATTTTCTCTTGACGTATTGATGAGGCAAAAACGAATGGCGGTACGCAAAATAGGAAGTGAGGTAGATAAGTGGGATGCGATGAAGGCATTGAAAGTAGAGGTACTTGGTCTCGTGATTTATGGTAAGAAGAATACAATATGGTTAATGATGATACTGATGAATTATGGATATATTTAGTTTGATGATACTTCACTTCGCTTCTCATGCATGAGGGTGGTTGGAGGTTCGAAACCTACCAACGGCAAGTACCAATGTTACTATTTTCGAGTTATATGTACTTTCTAAGATTATCTAGACACCACTGACAAACGGTGAAGGAAAACATCGTGAGGAAACCTGGGCTTATAATTTCTAATTACAAGTTTGTAATCGCCAACCCGCATTAAATAAGCATTAAGATTAATGCTTAAACCTTCTCTGTGTGTGAGAAGAGGCTTTGCTCAGCATTTATAGGCTGTTGATGATGATGATGATGATGATATTTTGGGTGATGGTTGTGTGTGCTGATAAATAATGAAATACTAGCTTCTGCCCTGCCTTCTCCACCCTTCAGACCACAATCTACCCTTGTTTCAAAATTCATCCCGATCTCTTCAGACGTTTTGACGTGAAAGAGTAACATGCACACATCCTCAAAAAGTATCGCATTTATAATAATATAAGTGGAATGGTTGAGAATACTTTAGGCGAAGGTAGTAAAAATGCATAATTTAACATCAGTAATAAAATGAATGCACTAGACGTTATAGATCATAATTAAGATAAAACGCAAGTAGCATTATCATAATCAGTTAACTTGACCGTCAAAACAAAATTAACATAAGTATAAATAAATATATTTAACATTATAGTACTGTCCCTAAACGCTCTTAAACAGAGCACCTTCACCTATGTAAAAGGTAATTAATATAAATGACTTTCAACGTTTTAATAAATCATTAACAGATTTGATTTAATTCGTCTTGCAGAAAGCGGAACGCTATTTAGACAAAATGACTATCATTGAAGACTTTTATCCTAATTCTCATGGCAATGAAACACATGAATATTTGGAAATACGTGCCTACTACAATATAGAGGTAATGGTTTACGCTGATTTAATTGACCATGTACGATGAACTATTAACTTTCTCTTGAACATGGTACATACGTAACTTAATAATTACTTGTCATTAAGAAATGATAGTGTCTTAGTAAAATGTTCTGCGCTAGGTACAGGCGTATCTAGTATCAGTAGTTGCGTGATATATGCTATGGAGTAATTGCTGTATGTTAGTGCTAATTAATATGAAAATTACCGACAAATGGTGCTCGCCAAGTGGTGATTAGATGATAAGCAAAAAAATCAGAGAAGTAATAACTATTTTGAATAAAGAAAAAGTCTCAGATGAGAGAAAAATATACTGAGAAGAACGCTCCAATACGATCATGACAAGCAAATGAATTATTACTACATAATACTTAAACATTTGACTGGTAAGAAATTTTCTGATGATGAATGGACCACGACCACATATTTACGCATCATTTCGAATATGAGCATGAACTTAACCAACGATTACTAAATCTACGCTCAAAACATCTTCGAACTCAATAGTAATATAAACATCATCAATAATACCTTAGACACAATTAACGCCTTGCCAGCCAGCACGAACAGACCAGCTATCGCCAGCGGGATCATGGCTGCCATCTTCATCGCTCCTCCCATCATCATCATGCTCATCATTTTCTTCATCTTCCCTCGACCTGGAATCATTTTGGTAGATCTGTGAGTTACGAGTGAAATATTAATGGTCTCGAACTTTTTTGGTCCACTCAGGGATTATTTTCTACGTTCTAACTTCTAGGAGTGACAAACCAAACCTAAAAGAGTAATGATATTTAATGTATGATTTCAAGTTTTGAATTAAATTGATGTTAGGGTAGGCCTGTTGTTGAAAAATGTTTCCTAATTTAACTTCATTACATTCTAAACTGTTTTGTATTCTACTTAGTTGCAATAAACGCTTTGACTGTGTTTCAAACGAATCCCTTCATTTTATTAGACACGTGAACGATAATTCATAAGCATTACATGAATGAATTAAAGAAACCTTACTATCTATAGAAGTTATTATGTTTCAACGAAGACAAATTACTTGTTACCTGAAACCCAGTTTTGACTGGCTAATAATTTCCTGAAGACTAATCTAAGGATAGCATGTACAGACATAGCTATAGGTAATAATTTAAGTATAGCACGCAAACTGAGTAATAAGGAAAACACAACATTTCTTACATATTAGGTGCTAATTAAACTTGTTAATTTCCTCAAGAAATAATTTCAAGTAGCTTTCTTGGTACTACAATTATAACGTGGTATATTTCCGTTTGTGTCATTCGTGTAGTTGGTAAAAGTACGTTCAAACACATCGACTTCTAAAGTATTGGCTGTGTTATCGTTGTGCATGATCTAGCTACGCAAATGGATATTGTTTTAATTACATTTCTTCGAGTATGTTCTTTGCTAATTCAATAAGCATACATTATGATTTTTATCTCATAATTTTGGCAACATCAATCACTAAGCGTCAAAAATTAATAATGATCTTAACCCATTCATATTCTAACGATAAAAAACCCAAAGTTGGCCCATGAATAACACAATAGGAAGATCACGCGGAAAAAGAAAGTAAACGAGCAATAATAAATATAAAGAAAATCGTGGCCATTACTTTAATAGGTATTGTTACAAAGAGGTTATTAAACAAAAGGTTGAGAGAGTGAATCGATATAAAAATTTTGAATATTTTGAAGAGGAAAGTAATATTACTGAATTTAAAAGTCGTTGAAAATGTGGAAGACAAACGAGAAATATCACCGATAACGTTGCTGTTTTTAGGATTGTACTGTAGCTCAAATGTTTGATACAGCTTTGTATCAATATAAATACACTTGGCGATACAATTTTTATTTCAATAGAGCTTTTAACTGAACTATAACTGTTTCTTATTGTATCACATTTAACAATGTATGTTTATTAAACGAATTAACGTCCCGTTTGAGATGAAAAATATTCTAATCCATTGTAATCGAACATTAAACCAAACATCAGCTGCTTCTACGATCAACATCTCCACAAATATTTCTGGGCATGCATAAGCATACTCGACATGAATCAAAAACTCAATATGGAAGCCTATAACTGTTATTAGAAATCGCTACAAATCGGTACACGAGTTGACAGTTACCTATATAGCTTATGGCTCCAATCACCACACATTTGCTCTATGAGCGGCGATCAGGGAGACCATTCAGTACACGATGGCGATTTAAAGTAATGCGATGACTTTGTCTAATCTTACTTCATTTTGAAACTAGAGAAAGGTATCTTCTCTATTAACTTTCATAGATTTTACGTGACCAGTCAGAAAACTACTTTTATTTTTTCCTTTTGATCTTTGATGTCGTTTAGATGAAGCTTGTGAAGTTCCCAGCTATTTAACGGATGTAATTTTGTATTGTGAGATCTGAAATGATTTTGGTTAAGATTTGGTAGGAGATTTTCTGAGTGATAGCTTACTGTGGTCTGTTTTGAATGAATCGTTGATGGAAACCTTACTCTATGCTATTTTGAATTTTTCTATGGAGCTGAATAGTTTAGTTAGTAAACTGAATCAAATTAGCAGATGTAAAAAAGAAAAATCCATTAGTAACATAACATTATGCCTTTAATCCCCGAAAAGGTAGGCAGAGATGCACATTCCGGCACTTAATGCCACTATACAATGTAACACGCACTTTTTACTATATATGTTATGATTTCCATGTAATAGCAGGTGAACCTAGCCTTATACTGGGATCTGTGCTACTATTGAGAATTTTTAAAAAACCCAGTACTACGTTGCCCAACCCGAGCATCGAACCTGAGTTCCTTGCCCAGCAATCGCACTAGCGACCACTCGGCCAACGAGGCAGTCACTTAAAATCACTACTAATGAGTATTTTATCCTTATACGAAAGAAACTAATGAACACTCAAACTACGAAATTGATTCTTATGTCAATTAACAATATGATTGAATCTTGTATGATGTTTGCGGTTTTGACTTATGACATTGATTTGCTCGTCTTCAGATGTAAAATACAAAACCGCACAATCAAAAATAATTTTGACAGTGTAGTGAAAGGTACAGTGAACTTTTTCGTTAATTATTTACACCCGGATATCATCATTGAACATGACTTGGAACTAAATTATGATGATACGTGATCTGATGATGAGTCATAATATTATATTATAAAGATTATATTTTTTTATTAATAAAATAAAACATAACATCATAACATCACGCCTTTTATCCCCGAAGGGGTGCACATCAAGGCACTTAATACCACTGTACAATGTAACACCCACTTTTCACTATTTATGTTATGAGTCCCATGTAATAGGGGGGAGCCTATTGCCATATACCGGGCACATTTCCATACTCCGTGCTACTACTGAGATTTTTAAAAACCCAGAAATACTTTGCCCGACCGCACTTGTGACCACTCGGCCAAAGAGACAGTCTAAAATAAAACCTTGTGTGTAATGTACTTTTTATCGTTAAGAATGAAATATATTTACGTTCATTGTTGATTACAATTGGAAACATTTCATGTAGTAGATGTTTCGTAATTGGATTAAATAATTGCCTCCCTAAAGACCTTTATGGCACTTTTCGGCAACTACTGATAAACTAACCAACCAACAGTTAAGGAGCACCTAAACTGATTTCTTACCCGGACTTTTAGGTATCACTTATAGTTTGATGATAACCAAAACTTCTTTAAGTGACACCTTTTAGTTAAAGGTTTCCTTGTTTAAGAGGTTGATGAATACAGGCTTAAAAGTGCTACCAAATATCAAAGCCAAGTAATATAAAATACACCATTTAGAACCCTTTTGGTATCTTCTAGGTAGCTATATAGGTAGTATAACTTACGACCACTAGCCTAACAAGGTGGCTAGGTCAGATATAAATTATTTATCTTCAGATCATTACTAAAGATGAATGATAATATGGAAATTTTCTCAAACAAGCTCGTTAGAAACAAGAACCGCGTATAGGGTCAGAGAAAAGTTAGAAAAGGTTCACAAATGTCATTTTATTATTTCTCATTACTTGTTTATTGAGTCAATTATATTTATTTATAGTATGTGTTTTTCTTGCCTGGCATTTGAAGTGACTTAGGTACGCGCTTCTGTGGTGAAATCTTAAGTAGATTCCATAGTTAAGTGTAATTGTAACCTAGGGTTGTGGTGATAGGCGTTGCACCGTGGGGCTCCGAAGGACCCGGTGTCACTTACAGGTGTTAAAAGTGACTACCGCAGTGGTTTTAGAGCAGTAAAAATCCCACACTCTCTAGTCTTTCTTGCCAAAAACCTCGGCGCCTTTTACAGATTTTCCCCTAGTCATCAAGAATAAAGAAAATCCTGAATTATCACTTTAGGAAACTTTTCCTCATTATTTCTGTTTCTAATCTCAAATGAAATATACATTATAATACATACAAACATTCATACATAACCTGACTCCTGTCTGCTACGTCTACGATTCATACATTCCTCTTTCTCTTTCCAACAGTCATCAGTCTTTTCATACATGTTCATCGGTTCAAGGTACTTTTAGATATGATACAATCTTTTAAATCTATACATCAAGTTGATTATAAATATCTATCAAACATACTTTTTAATGAAGTATCATATCATATTCTATTCCGAAAACTGAAAGTAATCAGGCTCATAATATTTTTTATCTTACTTGAACATTACTGAAGCTAATGTCTATCTGGTCAGTCACATTTGACATTAATATAAAAATAACTACTTCAAAATGGACTTGTTCACTTTCACACTCTTTCCTGTGTCAATCATTTTGTTGAGAAAAGGTTAAGCTATTTCTCATAATCTTCAAGACTATTTTAACAATGAAATGGCGCCTAAACTTTAATGAAGTGCTTTCATCAAGTATTTGATTGACAGCCAATTAACGCATGGTTTAATGAATGAATTGTGTTATGCGTTGTCAAAGAAAAAAGTTCAACACTACTAAGATGATTAGACACTGAAGCAACGATTAATTGATAAGAAATTTAAAAGAACTATAATAATGAATTTAATTAATTGATACAATGAGCTTCATAACATACTATACTACGGTACTATGGTTCTATAGTCAGTACTCTTTCATTTACGACTAAAATAAATTAAAATTAGTGATAGAGCTTCACCTTTGACCTTGAACTAACCCTAAGTTCATACGAAACTATGAAACAAAAGAAAACAAAAGCAACAGGTACGTACTGTAAAATTATTGCAATGTTTGTGTGTGTATGTGATAGATATCTCAAGCATCTGAATGTCATTACACATGCAGATTCAACTGATGATCTTGATAATGAGTGTCTTCTAATGTTAATGAGACATACTTGTAGTATGTCGATCACGTTACTATAAGGCTATGTATGTTGAATTGGGATAAAGATTTTGTACTATGATATTTAATTTTAGACTTTGTATTTATAGTAATAGTAGCTGGTTTAGTTTGGCCACTGATTGTGATGAGTCCTATCTTAAATTAGGAGTGGAAACGATAGTTTATAGCTAGATTATATTTTTTATACAATTCATGATATAATAAAGTTTCAGTGTTTATCTGCCCAAATTCTAGTCTACGTAAATAGTCACAAAGCAAATGAAATGATGTTCATGAAAATTTGCTAGAACAACTAATTTCCAAGGTCATTGTTTGAATAACAACAGAAAGTGCTGTTAAGCCTATAATTTAGAATTGTGAGAGCAATCTTGAACCATTATAAAACTTTAATAAGTACGCGAGCTTTAAGTTTTCTACTTTTACGAGAACTAAGCATGATATTGTTCTAAATGAAATCAAACATGTACAGCAGTCTATCATCAGCTTCAACACATCTGAATGAAAGTTATGATGATAGATGTTTCGAAATTGTGGGCCAAAAATTTGAAAATGCTTCTACAGATAACAATGGGAGGAAACTAGGTCAAAAGGTCAATTTGGAAAAGCTTGTCAAAAGAGGTGTTAATGTGAATTCTGAATTAAACTATATCTTATCTTTGTCTTTTTTGAAATGAACTTTGACCTCAAAAAAGTATTTATGATTTAGAAGCTAAAAATTGAAATTAGGATTACCTTCCTCAACTCCTTTGTTTAGTTCATCACCAGACACCTTCGGTAGTGACAGCTGCACTGTCCTGGAATTCGCGAACGCAGCGATGCGGTCCCATAACATCTCGTTCAAGGTCTCGTCCTTATTTAAACTCCTGGGCAGTACAGCTTCAATCTCATTCTCAGTGATAGGTTGTAAGGTGACTCCTTTACTCCTAACCACGTCCACACCATCAACCAAAGGTATCGTCTCCATCCTCGCCGCACGATCGAAGAACATAATCGCCTTCTTCTTCAAACATTGAGCAAATCCATCAGAATTCTGGCAATCTTCATATACTCGACTAATGTATCGGAATCCCAGATCATCTTTGGCTAAGGTCAGAGTTAAGAAAAGAGATAGCAATAGCACTTTTTGGTACATTTTTTGTTTTGTGTTTGCGGCGCGGTGGTGGAAATGTTACTGTGACGGAATGGGTGTCTGCGCGCAATATATACGCTATGTTACGGGGGCATTTGAGAGGCTCGATTGTGCCGCTTAGATGATACTATATGGGTTACTCATCGTTTAGGGATGGTCTTAGGGTGATATGTAATGATTTGGTGAACTATTATCTACAAATATGTCGCTGTATGAGGTGATTTTCTATAATGATAGACATTTTAGTAAGTGTTGAAAAATTGTGTCGGATTTTTGGTTGAATATTTATTATTGAAGCATTTTCTTATTTGTGTTGTAGTGTTTAAGTTATGTACTTAATGTACTTTAGAACTTGGTATTTAAATGTGTAGAAATGTTTAATTATCTTCAGATTTCGTACATAAAATTGAAATTCACAAGCATGGGGAAAGGTAACAGTTATCAAGTAATTAGTTAATAGAAAAGCTAGTTAGATATTCAAAGCTGTGTAAAAGTAGATAGCGGCGTATACTCTCATTTCTTTTAACAAAAGATGAAGTGGGGTTGATGTATCATGTCTTCTAGGCCTAAAATCGTTAAAACAACTGAGACATAATTTTTGTTTATAGTAATTAAAATAATTTACTTCCTATACAATTTTGTTTTCTTCTTTTAAATTCAAATAATGAATACATTTATATTAACAAAAATATTTTTTGTAAATAAATAATCATAAATATGATTACAGCATTGTTTTCCATGCATTGAATGAATGTAAAAGGAGATATTATGAACAATTTGCATATTATATTCAAAGTAGTAACATATTTTTTTAGTTTTGTTTCCTAATTATTATACATGCGTTCATAGGCAATTAAATTATAAGAAGTAAATTTAGCTGATGCTGTGCTACGTTGGTTTAAACTGTGCAATAAAATTAATTAAGTAGTTCGTAGTTTATGCTATATTGTATTATTGCGATATTGAATATCAGTTAAGTAGCATAAAGATTCTGGTAGTTCTAGATTCTAATCTAGTAAGTTGTAATTATTTTTGGATACAACTAATTGTCTTTAAATAGATGAATTTAAATAAGTGAATGTTTATAAATTTTTGACCGCAAAAGTAGACAGATTTAACTGAAAAATTTCATTTTACGTTTAAATGTAACTTATTCAATTACGAGATAGATCGAATACGAGTAGGTAGTATATCTTACAAAAATACATTGATATAAAATACTCTTTAGACTGCCTCTTTGGCCGAGTGGTCACAAGTGCGACTGCCGCCTCGGGTTCGATTCCCAGGTCGGGCAAAGTATTACTGGGTTTTTCAAAATTTCAGTAGTAGCACGGAGTCTGGAAATGTGCTCGGTATATGGCAATAGGCTCACCCCATATTACATGGGACTCTTAACATACATAGTGAAAAGTGGGTGTTACATTATACAGTGGCATTAAGTGCCGTAATGTGCACCTCTGCCTACCCCTTCTCATGTTGTTATGTTATTGTATAAAATACTCTGACGTATCACTCGATAGTGTAAGCTAAATATAATTCATCATTTCAGTAATTCAGTTTAGATTCTAATGTGATGTTAGTAAAAGTATGAAGACTAGTCATTATGTGTGGATATGGATACTTTCTCTTGTATTTTTTGCTTAAACTTAACTGTTTTGATTATGTTCGATAGAATAACTTTATCATCTTTTTTTATGGCATAGGTAAGCCGGTAAACGAGCAGACGGATCTCCTGATGATAAGCAATCGGCGTCGCCCATGGACACCTGGAACACCAAATGCGTTACAAGTCCGTTACCGGCGTTTTGGGGATTAGGAGTTTGAGGATCGTTGGGATTCAGGAATTGGGGAGATTGGGGAAAGGGGAGAGTAATTGGGCCTCCGGTAACCTCACTCACACGACGAAACACAACGCAAGCATTGCTGTGAAGCGTCGGTTTTCTGTGAGGCCGTGGTATCACTCCGGTCGAGCCGGCCCATTCGTGCCGAAGCATGGCTCTCCCACACTTTTTTTTGTTTTAATCTTTTAAATGGAATACTATACAATAATTAAATTAGATTTTTTCCAACGAATGAACCTTGTGTTGCGTTTTGTCATATGTTACTGGAGACACAATACTAAGATCTGGAGAATCCTCGATCCCCAAAAAGCCTGTAACGCACTTCTAACTCTTCCAGCGTTGCGTATGTTCTAGCGCTGATCGCTTACCATCTAAAGAGTATGAGAATTTGCCCCTTATGTCATAAGGAATAAAGATCTATATCATATAGCTAGACTAGCCAATTAAATCCGGTTGCATCTAATCTAGTGCATAAACTAATAAATGTTGCGTTTGTAATTATATTTTTATACTCTAAAACATAACACATTTTGTCGTAAAAATGTACACAATGTTTTGTGGGTGATTTTGCTTGCGATCATTTAGTTTTTTTTTTAGGAGTTATCCTTTGTTATCAATAATCTAGAACCTACCAATACATACCATTTAATTTTCTTCATTAAAATATTTTTTCTAAGTTTAACATAATATACGTCACAGTCTTCAATCCGAAGGGGTATGCAGAGATGGGCAAAGTGACTTATATTTCATACCAATTACCTAACACTTAGATCTACTATTCTAAACCCACGGATGACCATTGGCTTCAAATTTGCGACCGGTTTATGAAAACTGGGCTCAATTTCAGACGTTAAATTGAAAAAGACGGACTTCTGAGTTTATTTCGGCATTTCTTCTCAGAATAGTCAGTCAGGAAATATCGACCTTATCATTCGCAAAAAAATTTACATGTATAAGTGCTGCCTTGTAGCCTATTGACAGAAATAAATTTACTTGTTGTATATTTAGCACAATTTGAGACCGTATTGAAAATCAAAACCCAATATTTCTTGCTCAGTAATCGTATTTGTAACAACGGACTAAGATTTTACACATGGAATTTATATGTGAATTCTAACATAGACAGATGGACAGAATTATATTCGCATTTACAATAATTACGTTGTGTATGTATCGCATGTTACTTGTAGGAAATAGTAATTAAATTGATTCACGACGTTCCTTTCACGATGCATGATTTACTACATTGATGTTAACTTACACTGACATCGTATTGGGGTAGACAGATATTCAGGTAGTGTTCAATTAGGTAACATAACATCCCGCCTTTTTACCCCCGAAGGGGTAAGCAGAGGTGCACAATTGCACATTTTGGCACTTGATGCCACTGTACAATGTAACATCCACTTTTCACTACTTATGTTATGAGTCCCATGTAATAGGGGGTGAGCCTATTGCCACATACCGGGCACATTATCAGACTCCGTGCTATTACTGAGATTTTTAAAAACCCAGTAATACTTTGCCCGACCCGGGAATTGAACCCGAGACCCTTTGCCCAGTTTTTCTCAATTTATTTCAATTAGATACTTAATGTTATATTCAATTACGTCACTATAGTATGTTAGACAGAGGTTTTTGGTGAGAACCGTGGAAACTATCGTTTATTTCTTCTCTCTAACGTCTTATAATATCCTCTGATTCACTTCGTTGCGGGAACCAAGACAGTTACTCACGTCCCTGAAGATGCGTCGGACTTAAGTGTTCGGGTGTTTTCATGGTTGTAACA